CAGGAGGCCGCCCCTCCACTGGCTGCCCTGTTGTCGCCCACCTCAGTTGAGGTGACCGCCGGCGCTCTGCGCCAGACCCCACCACCATTGCACACACCACAAGGCCTCCCTGATTCACAGCCGCCGTGCCAACCGCCTCCTGCTGCCCGACTCTGGCAGCAGGCACCAGGGTGGCGGCGGCGGCGGAGTGCTGCTCTACCCGCTGTGGGGCCCGGAGGACGAGGGCGCCGCCGCCCCTTCTGCTCATGAGGGAGGGGCGGGGAGGTGGCAGCCCAGCTCACGCTAAACCCTGTATACTGCCAGAACTCGCCCTGTGCCCAGCGGTGGTCTGCCCATGCCGCTCACCCGCAGCTGCTGGGGTGGGGGTGGGGCGGCGACTGCTGCAGGCCACCGCACTCCCCCAGGCCTTCTTCCTAGAGCTCGTTTCATTTTTCTCCACAATGGGCCTTATTCCTAGTAATGACATAAAGATCAAATAGACAATGCTTAGTATGCCTGTAGATTTGTGAACCACTTGCAGTAACTCTGGACCCCATGGGTTTTCCTGCAACCAGAGTGGAAACCACTGTTCTAAAGTATCCACAGGTTATCTAAGAGAGAGTGATTGTCAAACAATGTTGTAAAAAGTACTGAGACCGCTAAAGAATGTGGGTATAAATTACTATGGGAAGGAAAACAATTTTCATAGCCAGTTACTGCTGCGGAGATATTTACGTTTCTTGTCTCAACCAAAGACGAGAAACTTCTGCTACACCTTACCATAATTTTACAGTGGCTCTCCTGAACTGAACAATGCAAATCAGGATAGAGTTTTTCAGATCAAAAGGTTTATGTAGATGCAGTTTGTGGAGACTGTGGCGAAACGGGGACCCGCCCTCAGCCCTGGGACTGAGCAGCTGTTCTGTGGCTCGCAAGCCCGTTTTTGCCTTCCCACCCTTTCCTGGTGGGGCTATTTTCCTTCGTTACATGCTGCCACCACTCACTGGATTGACACCGCCTTCTTAGAGGGACAGTGAGACACCTCTGGCTGATTCCCCAACAGTGGGAAGTTGGTACCACTATCTTTGGGTGCCCCCTGGAGAGTTGGCAACCCCTCCAATTTGGTTCCATTTGGGTCCCCTGGCCTTCCTTTTGTTTCTGGTGATGCACTGAGCAGGGAAAACTAAGTGGTCAAGGCACACCAGGTCTTAGAATTCCAAAAAGAAGATTTATTTTAACTATTTACAAGTTAAGCGCAGCAAATAAACACGAGCACATTAACACAACCTGGGCAGAAAATAAACACGATTTAAAATGCCATTCCTCTGTCCCCGACACACCCCTCTCTATCTTTGGAGGTTGTGGGCCTCAGGATGGGTTTTTCTGCCCCCCCTCCTGTTGTTGTGGAGAAACCCCCAGCCCTTCACCGGACTGGTCACTGGTACTGTTGCCCTCCTGGCTGTCCATTACTGTTTATAGTGGCCTGGATGCCCTGGAGTTTGAGGCAACAGGACCCCCCACCAGTGTTCCCTCTAAGCTGAGTTAGTGTGAGCCAGCTCACAGGTTTTTTAGCCTCCAGCTCACTCATTCTTGTCTCCGCTCAGGAAGGAGGGCTCCAGAGCAAACGTAACTGATGCAGCAGCCAAATCGCTCGCTCACAGCTTCAATGCCAGGAGCTCACAAAGTAGGATTTTTGCTCACAAGACTCCACAGCTTAGAGGGAACATTGGCCCCCACCTGTATACTCGCTGGAAACTGCCATCCACACTGAGCCAAAGGCTGAAGACTGAACTCCCCCCTCAGGAGCCAAAGCCTTTATCTCCCTGGCTCCGCCCCTGGGGTGTGTCCATATTTTCCCACTCTTTTCCCTAACGCTTCTGGGAAGTGTAGGCAGGCAAATGAGTTATCCCTGCAGGCCCCTGTCTGGAACTACAGGCCACTTACCTTTATGGGGAACCATTTTAAACACTGGTACAGATGGCCTCCATCTTACACACCCAGGTAAATGTCATTTCGTCACAGAGACATTCAGTGAAATCAATGCAAGTGCAGTGACAATTCAGTTTGCATGTATAAATTAGAATGTACATCATAGCTAATGTGCCTCACTTTTCAGCTAGCTCTGTTGAATCACATGAGCTGTTTCAACACACACAGAAAGAATGACACATTTTATGTTAGGAAGTGAAAACTGGCTGAATTCTTAAACTGCACAGTGAAATTTGGGTGATGCATTCTGAGTAATCCAACTATTTCCCCATTTTTAGGGAGGTACTAGGAAACAAACTAAAGGAGGCTGTACCACCTTTGCATTATGCTTTAAAAGGGGAGAGATCTGGAGTTTGCTATTTTATTTTTGGTTTTTTAACTGAATTTTTTTTAAATTATTACTGGAAGCCATCTTGAACCATGGGGAAAGGCAAGCTATAAATGTTAATGAATAATTAAAATTAATCTCACTTTCATTTAAAATAAAAAGCATAGAGCTCCCTTACTCTGCAAGTATTTCTTGGGACAGTTCTACAGCTGCAATAGTGTGTCTGATTTTGACATTAAAAGGGGTGTTGAACCCTCCCTGTACCTGTTGCCTGCATCTCCATGGTCCTAAAGTGACTGTTTGCCACCTGTGCACACTTCTAGTATTGGCTTGGTAAAGGAAAAAAACCACTTGGGAATATGAGGTGTGGAAGGTTCTGCATGCCCCGCCCACAGACCCCTTTTGTTGTTAAAGTAATCCCCCTCTTTCCATTAGATTAGAGTAGTTCTGTGTGTTTAAACTGACATTATCCAATCTGACAAGATAAAATACACCCAGATCAATTGGTACCAATTGTTCTACAAGTATTCAGAGTTTACTTTAAGTGTATGTAATCCTTTTGTAATTTGTATTGGGGAACTGGCATTAAAACATCTATGTAGGAATTAAGGACTAGCAGAGTGAGGGGTACATGTTTTGCACCATTACATG